AAGATACTAAGAAGTTGTTATAGGCTGTCAAGAAATCTCCAACTTAATGACAACCTTAGGAATTGAATGCCCTGCCCTTCACAGTCCTGCTTCGCTCTTGCACATTCAAGGCTGTGAATTTCATTGTGGAATTGATGGATCTTCTATTTGGCACAAGAAATTACTTTTACCAAAGCTGAACCACGCAGGGCAAGTCAGCCAAAAGAATGACCAGCTGCCCACTTTGTTCAAAGTCAGCCAATCTAAACAAATCAGGAATTTAGGTTTTGCTTTTTAAACCCAAAGGGTAGTAACCAACTGAGCGCTAGCAGTCGCATAAACTCACGCTTGCTAAGACAGTGGGAAAATGCAACCATTAGCAGGATAACAATGTTGGGTGGGTGTAAACCAACCCTCAGGCAACTTAACCAGCACTTGCTAAGACAATAGTGGAAAGCAGAATTTTCTTTGGCTTTGTGACCGTGCCCTTGCAAACACATGTTATATATCGCACAAGTGTTGGTTTACTGGGGCACAGTTGGATACTACCCAAAGTTTTCTGCAGAGAATAGTGCACTAGGGACAAAAATTCAGCACCACTGCCAAAAACTTTATGCCCCTGGGGAATAACGAAACTGACAGTATGGTTACTCATGAATCTTAGTACCAGTGAAGATGGAGGGAGCTGCTATGCTCGAGAGAACCCCTTCCCATCTCAGCAACAGGAGACATTATAGATGAAATTCAGTGTCATGAATCTCCCCTCAAGACAATCAAGAAGCCCCTGCGATGGCTGGGAAGATGGACAGGCGAAGAGTCTCCAAAGCTCTCCGTCTGGTGAATGCAAGGCACTCACATTGCAAATAATTTGTGGCTCACTTCCATCCTTGTTAACAGAAGCCATGTTAATCTACTTTCCATTCTACAGTCTTCCCATTAACACTCTGCACCAGGCAAACTAACCCATGTTCTTCAGCCTATTAGCAGCACAGCCTCTAGTGGCCCTTCCTGCTTCCTCTACAAAATTCCAGTAACTGAATTGTCAGACAAGAAATCTGCAGTCTGTGAGGTTACCGGGGTTGCCACAACTTTCGCAGGAACATGCACTTGCTGAGCCAAAACCTTATCTCAAAAAGGATAAAGGTGGAGCCCTAAAATGTTTTCCGTTCCTTGCAAAATTGGGTTATCTTGTAACACACATCTGAAGCTCCACCAGGTTAGGAATTTAAGTCTATTTTACCTAGGAAGAAAGGAATGTACCGAGAAGGGTAAAAGGGGGATCTTGCTCCCATCATTACACCCCTTGCCAAGAAGCAGTAAACAAGAAGAACCAGTCCAGAAACTTTCCCTGGGAGTTTATTTCAATTCTGTAATTTGGGCTTCAATTCCTGCAGAGGGGAACCAACAAGGAGCCAATGCCAGAGGAATGGGTGACAGAGAACACGGATTTCACTCTTATCCATAGAATAATCAAGAAATTTAGGGAGGTCTAAAGAAAGAGCCACAATTCTTTTCAGAGGCTATACCAGCTTTCCCAAATGGCACCCCCACGATAGTTTGGATTCTAAGTACCAGCTTTTTTACCATTTGCCATGCTGGCTGAGGCTGATGTGAGTGGAAGCCCAAAGCGACTGGAGGGCATCGGGAACCCAGTTCTCCAGATCATCCAAACCTGTTCCTCCAACAACCAGTGGCTTTGGTGGTTCCCAGCTTTTATGCATTTCCCCTCAAGTGGATCTCCTCATGCTCCCTTACTAGAAGCAAGCACTTCCTGCTAACATATGCAAATATTTTTGGCCTACCCCTTAGTAGAATGTGACCCCCAAAAGCGGCTCCAAAATTGAATGCATCTCTTAGGCAGGGAGAGGTGCGCACTCCCAAGACTGTGCTAGGATGCAACATTTCCTTGGACATCCTGCAAACCGCTTCCAGCCTTATAGTGATGGGAAGGTTGCTACTAGTTGAACATGGCCAGCTCCCGGGGTCATCTGTGTCCTCAGAAGAACTTGAATCGCTTGACAGCCAAACACTCAAGAAGAAAAGGAGCTGCTGTCATGGTTAAGGTCACAGGAACCAGGCAGGGGAAACCCAGCAGGCCAGGAGCTTCCTCTGTGCCTCACAGCCCAGGCCCAATGGCCTCATGGCTACCAGCACACCAGCATCAGTTGGCCAGGAGGGAGCAGAGGTGAGCATCCCAAGAGAAACAGGATCAAGTCTGTCCAGTCCAGGAAGCAGAGAACTGCCAACCCGCTGAGGACACCTGTGCTCCTCCAGATGTTGCCAGCCTGCAAGTCCCCCCCCCCCCCGCCAACCATCAGCAATCCTGGCTGGTGCTGATGGAAGCTGGACTCCAGCAACATCATCCACAGGGTTCCCCATCATGGTTATGGCGCTACATTTGTTTCCTGGATCACTGGAACAGGCGCTGATGGTGCTTGCTAAGTTGCTTAGGAGCTGCCCCTTAGAAACAAACCTGACATTCCCTCGTAAGACACACCTGGCTTGGTGGCACGGATAGTCCTGCCTTGCCACCTAGTGCTGAAGAAGACAAGAGGCACAGGGAAGCTGGGGTTCCACAGATGGTCACGCTGCTTCCCCTGGTCTCTCCCCGTTTCCCCCAGCCGGAGACAGTCTGGTGGCCCCATCCAGAGCATCTCCAGGACTGAATCTGGTCCTCAGGTGCTCAGACTGTACTTCAGCCCTCCAAGTACAGTCTGAGCACAGTGAAAGAGGCATTCAGGAGAACGGCATTTCTACACTCTCCACTGGTCCGCCCTCTCCAGCGAGGGAAGGGGTGCTGCTGGTTTGAGCGATTTTGCCGCTAGGGCACAGAAGCTGGTAATTTGGAGTTAAACTGGGGAAAGAGTAGGCAGACAGCACACATCATATGGTGGTTGCCAAGGGGAGAGGACAAGCTGCTAGAAGCACAGGGGCACCTGAGGAAGACCCGGGTCCAAACCCCAAACTGAAGTCTACTTGTGGCAGCCACATTGGACGTGGTAAAGCTGAGGCCAGAATGTGCATCGAGCGCACGGGATTAAATGCGCCATCATATGGAAGTAAAATTCTCTGGATGTGGAAAACAGGATGCTAGAGAGATGAATTACAGCACATGCTACTTTTCTGAGTGCAGGGATTTCGTTTCCCTGGACTGAGCCACATCTGCAGTCCAGAGTGGTCCTGCCACAGCCTGGTCCACTCCAGGCATGTGCGAACTGCCCATGGCTAGGCAGACTGAGGATGGAGCCCGCAGAGGGAAGGGTTTTGCGGCGAAGTCCCTAGTTCAGGTTCAGCTCTCACCCTCGACATGTGCAGAGGCTTTGCTTCCATTTTATTAGGGGGCTCAATTAAGATCTGCTTTGCAAACAGACAGTCTGGTGTTTTGAGCCTATGAGCAAGAGGGAGAGAGCCGGGCTCTTGACACTGGGAATCATGGGAACTGCAGCCCAATACACCTGGGGGCACCAAAGTAAGGAAGGCTATACAAGGGACTGCAAACTGATTTACCGCCTCCCCCATGAGGAGAAGGCCTCTGTCTGGAATCACAAAGGCTAACCTAACTCTCAGAGTTGCTACGGTGATTGAATAGGCTAATTCCACAAACAGTCGTCTGTATTCCTTGGCAGAAGGATGAGACGCAGATGTGAGCTAGGATATCAATTCTCTTATCATTTTGAGGTTCTACCTTTGCAGAGAAACAACCTCTTTGACCGCATCAGTCATGCCAGTCCAAAAAGCTGTTTCTTTTAATACCGGGAGGCTCCTGGTATGAATAGCCAACATTTTATAAGAAATTAGTTTCTGCACAGTGCAACAGAGAAGCTGTCCCCTTCCCCAGGAGAGCTTGGCCACCAATAAGTGTGTCCCTCTGGCACCAACTGCAAAAACCCAGAGAAACCTCTTCTGTGCCAACCCTTTTTAAAAACCAGCGCCCATACGCAAACACACAATGGGACTATTTTCCGCAGACTGAGACTCCCCTGGTCTAGTGAAGAGGGACTGATCCACTCCAAAATCGCCCCTGCAAGAACTCGCGTGTGAACACCCGCATTAAGCTCAATGGACTGGTTGCCACACAAACCTGCAGCCAAGGGGAGGGGGGATTTAAGAACATGCTACAGCTTTCTGGAGGAGCTTTTAAAGGATACATGCCAAAAAAAGACCCCACCAGAACATAACATGCAACAGTTTTATAAGGAAATTAACTGACAAGACTTTAATGAAGTCTTCGAAAAATGGAGTTTTGGTGGGGCACCAACCCCCTCTTCTGCTCTTAAGTGAATTTGGAGGGAGGGACCAGGGAGGAACACTCAACACAAGGAAGCCGTGTGCTTAGCGGAAAGTGATCCTCTTAGGAAGGTAGGAAGGTCCGGCCTCACTGGCTCTCGGCAGCCCTCTCTCAGAGCCAGCCCCGCCAGACTCACCTCGTGGCAGGATTTCTGAATCAGCTGCTGGCTGCGTTACACAAGCACACACACACGCAGAGCAGCGGTGATTCAGGAAGTGTGGCTAAGCCTTCCACAGACCCAAAGCCATCTCAAAGCCTCACCACTACCCAAGACGTATTTATCAACCCAGGAGCTCTGCAAAACAATGGCACGCCAAGGACATGTAGGCTTCGCACAGGTAATTCCAAATCGGTGCTATTATTTATTAGAAATGTGAGCCCACACACCGCCAAGTGGCCCCACTCTAATTTCATGGACAGTTCGAATTGCAGTCTCCTGATGCCTCAAGAAGTGGGTGTTTGTTTATTTTATTTAAAAATTTTCTAGACCATCCTTTACCATGCTCTCAGTTTAACAATAAGACAATATAAAATAAAGCCTGCATTCCTGCAGCTGCTTTGCACAACTAGCCCCATCATCTATACCATTCCACCTGGGGCTGATGGGAACCATAGTCCAAAGCACATGCAAGGTTCCAGGCTGCCTATCGCCACATGAAGCTTGCAGCCAGTTACAACAGAAACGTAACACCTGCACAGCCCACCTTCCACCCCTCGGAAGACGATTTCTTACCTTCTACCTCTTCATCATCACACACATGCTTCAGGAAGGATGCCCCTCTATCCAACACCGCCTCATCCTCCATCCTGTAGTAGTAGAAAAGAAAGAAAGAGTGTTCAGACTTTTCCTGGAGAGAGCCGCTTGAACTGGCCCAGCTCCTGGGCAGGTTAACTTGCAGGTTATTGTTCATGTTACAAGAGAGGAGAGTCGCTTTTCACGTGGGCTTGCCTCTCCTTCATAGAGCTTTCCGGTGGTTCACGGCTGGCTCAGCGCTGCTATGCTCCTAACCTCAGGAGGGCATCGCATCAGGTGCCAGGGGGCAGCCGGAAGTAATTGCAGCCAGCAGTCTTTTCTTCAGGATTAACAGGAGAAGCCACAGAGAAGCAAGCAAGCAAGCACACCAAGTGCCGGCGCGAGCGCAGCTCAACAGCCTTCACGTCAAATATCTCCTGCACAGTCCAGAGGAAGAACTAGAGGCGTCAAGGTGCCGCAGACGGCAGATGCGTGCAAACATCCTGGATGGGCAGGAGCAGCGAAGAGTCCCGCTAGCCCTTTAATACCCCTTAAAGCACACTTCTTCCCTGCACAGCAAAGCTGCATGTCACATGTTGGCCTTACGGAAATCTGACATCCAAGGATTAGCTGGAGACCAAGCTCCGGCAAGTCAGGCCGCCCAAGCAACAGGCTCATTTGCATATTCCATGGGGCACTCGTCTGGTTTTCCCCTTCCAGCCTGCCTGCCTCATCACCTCCCTTACGATAAATGCAAAGAGGGGCTGCAGTATTTAATCAGTCGGGTCCACTGCTTTAGACAACGAGGCATGCAGACTGAACATGTGCTCCCACATTACCCAGGCACCCAGGTTTTGTGCAGGTAACCTGGCACAGCAGTGAGCGAGTGCCATCCCGCAAGAGGCATCTGCCCTCCTCCTCCAGAGAGAAGCCTTCTGTAAGCGACCTCTGCCACAATGAATTTGCACAACTCCCCAGGCAATAAATGTTGCCTTGCATACTTCCTAAGTCAATCTCTTTTGGAACTGTGTGCTCCATGCACCACAGAATCAGCAACCAAAAGTTCTGCTAAAAGGGGGGGCTGTGTGAGCCATCCCTTAAGGAAGTGGGGGGGGGGCGGCCACGAGGAGGAGGGCCTTCTCTGCAGCTGCTCCCTGTATTTGGAATGCTCTCCCCAAGGAGATTCGCCTGGCACCAGCCCTACTTTCTCTTTCAGCGCCAGGCAAAGACCTTCCTTTTTAAAAAACATGTTAATAATTGCCATAGACCATTGTTTTGTACGTTTTTACTGTATTTTATTGTTTTTCATGTATAATATGTTATGAATTTTATTATGCTTTATTGTGTTTTTATCTTGTGTTGTGAGCCGCCCAGAAGTGCTGTGGCACAATTGGGCAGCATACCCACGTTTGAAATAAATAAAATTTGTCCAACTAACCTCATCCCCATCACTGACGATGGAATGAGATGCTGCTGCAACACTTTAAGCCGAGCAGCCAGGTCCAGCCAAGACACTTCACTTCTGATTTGAGGATGTTTAGGAAGAAATGAAGCCACCTGCTTTGAGGAAGATGCACCTTTCTTGGATGCAAAAATAAAATAAGAAGGGCATCCATCAACAAGCAAAAAAGGAAACCTACATTCCCCTTCATCTGGTTTCCCTGAATAGGCATGGAACTCCAAAGCTGGCTGGGTGAAGGATGAGTCCGTTCCTTCTGTCAATAGCACACCCTCACTCTTCAGGAGAAGCTGCTTCATTCATTCATTCATTCATTCATTCGATTTATACCCTGCCTTTTTCCTACAAAGGGCTCAAGGCAGCTTACATCTCCTCCTCCATCTTATCCTCACAACAACCACCCTGTGAGGCAGGCTGGGCTGAGAGCCTGTGACTGGCCCAAAGTCACCCAGTTGGCTCCATGGCCGAGCGGGGACTAGAACCCAGATCGTCTGAGTCCCAGTCCCATGCTCTTCACCACTACACCACACTGGCTCTTGCTGCAGCAAGGCAAACAGTCTTGCTCTCACAGCAAAAGCAACCCTTCTCTAAAGCATGGCTGGGGAAGGCCATTTCACAACACTGCTCTCTGGTGTTCTTCTTCGTAACAAACTGAAAGTCATAAAACTGTGGCATGGCCCCAAAAGACTATCCTGACTTTTGGACACTGGGAAAGTTCACTATAATTGGTAGCCAGCAGAAAAAGGGATGCATGTATCCTTGACAGGTATATGCTAATTTAATGTGAACATACTGTACAACTGAACCTTAATAACCTCCTCACCATCTTTCCAGTAAAGGAAATACCATATACAACTTTAACAGGGGTTGTTCAACCCAGCACCCTTCACCAGCCACTCAAAGCTCTCTTCTGGAAAGGTAAGGTTGTAAACAGTGCAAGCACATTAAAATTAGCATGTTCCCATCACAGTTAGATATCTCTCTTTTCCCCACTGCCTACCAATTGTACAAATGGGCGTAATAAACTGGGACCAGGACACACTCCCACCATGTACTGCAGCCAAAATATAAAACAGGAGTAGGGGAAATAATGCCAACAAAAATGAAGGAAGATTGCAGCCAAACTGCATATTACACTAACCAGAGAGCTGAAGGTTAGCTTTTCCTTTTCCCTAATCTAAGTGCATGTCACCCAATTTGGACTGGGACAACCATGCACTAGGAAGGTGTAATTAAATTTCCCCTGTATTTTTCCTGAAAGAGTGGAAGTAAAGTAAAAGACAAAGACTGAATAGGCATCAATGGGAGGCTTTTTTCCTCCATTTGTAACCCCTTTCCCATATATTCACACAAGCAGCAGGGAAGTGCTGATCTGAATTGGATCCACACACACTTAGTAAAGAAGCAACATGACAGGTCTAACATGTAGTTTGAGCGTAAGGCTAACACTGAGGTCAAACCGCTAGTTGTTTCCATCAGGGGAACAAAACAAAGCAACCACATTGGGCTCACCCCAAATCATCCTTATTGTTTCATGGATTTATCCTCAAAACAAGATGAGTTATTTTTTAAAGAAGGAAAAATGTGGCATGTAAATACAGGCTGGTAAGAGTATCACAACAGAGTAAACTAATGCTCCAAGAGAAAGATACATATATTAAAACAAGAACAAGTGAAGGACTAACGTCAAACAGCAGGATGCAGAAAACTACTCCACTGATGCCCATTGTGGACTGCTATATATAATGCAATATTTAATACACAGTAAGAGAAAAATAACACTCTGAGGCACCAACTGGGAAAACATATGCATCACTTTGGGCTATAACAAAAGACAATGTTTAGGCAATAAGGCACCACTGCCAATGCCATGGATACAAATTAGCAGAGAATTTCCATGATAAAAATGAACCAAGTATATGTAAGGAAAGCTTTTTAGAAGAGCATGGAAACATCAGATGGTCCAGCAACTGCCAACACAATGTAAACAAGATTTCCAAAGACCTGTTTTTGTTGCGGCTTTGTAGGTATCCATTATTTACTCTATCTCAACAATTTATCAGATGATATTTGATGGTGTGTGTGTGTCAAATTCTAAATCTGTTTTTATTATTGCTGAGAGAGAGAGGGGGAGGGAGGCCTGGGTATAGTTGTGTTTAGCTATCATACAAGAATTGGCCACTTAGATTAACCATGGTCTTTGGGTTGACATGTTTTGTGTTTGCCAAGTTGTGCAGAGAAATGGCTTCTATGCCCATGCACACACATCTATACACACACACCAGCTACACATAGCATGCAAGAATTTGTCTTCTCTTCCCAAAATGAAAATCCTACAACTTAATCAGTGTGCACGCAACAAGCCATTCCATGAGATGATGTGATTAAGTAAGATTCCAAATTCTTCTCCAACTACCATTTGCTACAAAACGCACAACACCTGTCCCTCATGCACACATCCAAATACAAAACGTTCCCTCAGAGTTGATTGTGTTCATTCAATTATTCAACATTATTTATGCTTCTTTTGTTATGCAGACAAAATCACAGGTCCTTGCCTGCCGGCAATTCTTCTCTATATTCATGTGATTCTTTTAAAGCAGCAAAGCAGTCGCTTGCTATAAATGCTGCTGACTTACAGCTGGAACAGATGGTGGGGAATTTGTGGTCTGTGCAGAAATCTTATGCACATGGTATTTCTCCCTTGATTACTAAACAAAACCTGTACGTCCACACACACACACAAACACACACACACTATACACACACATGTGCATGCCTGTGTACTAAAACACAGGGTCATTTTTTGCAAGGATCTATTACACAGATGAATTTTTCATGCCTATTCTGCCCAATTTCCACAAAAATTGTTATTTTTTTTAATCTACCCAAATATACATATTCAAATATCCCCAGAACCACCACTGTACTCCATGTTTTTGCTGCAACAAACTAAAACATTAAGAACTGCAAGAAATTTAAGAAATGGTACTTTCATAGACTGTACAGTGGACAGTAATCTATGAAAGCTTGTGACATAAAACATGTGGTCTTTAAGGTGCCTTTTTTTGCTATGTTTAAAAAGGTATTTTAAACATACTTTATCTCATTTCTAAACTATCCCCTCTCAAAATGTCTATTTTTAAAATATTTCTTGAACCGGGAACCTCTGGGAAGTTTGAAACCTGGTGGGGAACTTGCTTGATGTGCATATCCTGATTGGAAGTAAGTCCTTATCAGAATTCAGAAATTCAAATGCCCCACTTTGGATGCTGCCCCGATTGTATATTTGAATGTTCAAAGATTAAAGACTCCCTGAGCTACCAAAGCAGACGTTGACAGGCCTGTCCCATGCAAATCAGGATTCTTGAACCTGCTACTGGCCAATGGCCTTGCTTACTGGGGATGATGGGCAATGAAGTCCAACACAACTGAAGGAAGTCAGATTGGTCTAAACCCATTTTTAAAGCCATCTAAGTTAATGGGCCTCACCGCACCTTGTGGAAAAAATCCAGACATTAAACTATGAAAAAATGCCCCCCTTTGGCCTGTTCTGAACCAAATGCTCAAGCAATTTCACTGGGCAAAACCACAAGTCACCTTCAAGCTCAAAAGATTTTGCACTATGACAAGGAAAACACTGCTCAGAACCAGGGTTTCTGATAGATTTTCTAGGTCAGGTTTGTTGACTAACCACACTGGCATATCCTGCACTTCCTGCAAAAAGCCAAGGGCTCTTTCCATGGGCTTCTCTTATTTGGTCCTCTAAGCCACCTGGTGAAGGAAGGAAGGTTGTGGAATGGCCAAAGGCCCAGGAGATGTCTAATATGCTCCCAGGCAAATAACATGCTAGTTCAGCCCGCTGTAACTGAGACTTAACTCCCCTTGCTATGTAGTTAGCGCCCAATTCTATCCAGCACACTTAGAACAGAGCTTTAGAACATGATGATATGTGACAAAATGAACTCTGGATTTATTGAGGTCTTCTGCAGCCTTAGGCTTGTCCTGTGTCCTGTTGTCCAAGGATGGTCCTATACTGTGGAAGCGTCCTCTCTTTGAAGAGCTCTCCAGTCCAAGTGCAGTTAAGGATAAAGAACAACGAGAAGGCGGAACAGAGCTCTTGGCATTGCCTTGGTTGGAGGACTGAGACAGCCACCTTGTCAGCATCTTCCGTGCTTAGGGTGAGATGCATTTTATTGCTCTGTGAATGATAGCCACTCTTCCTCAGGTCCCATATATCAGCACAGACCATTTCCTACAAAACAGTATCCTCTTTCTGGGCAATGTAATTCCTCTTTTTCATGATGCATTACTGGCCACCGTCTAAACTTGCTCTTCCCACCTCACAGTGTGAAGCAACCTGGAGAAGTTTCAGATGAAGAGTTTCACCAGAAGGATGTGGTTTCTCCACAGGAGACCAGCTAAAGAGATGGAGCACTGCCACCTTTTGGCTACGAGGTCTCATCACAGCCTTGGGCTCGAAATACATTTCTTAAAAATAATGATAATTTGGCACAAATGCCTGATTTGGCAGCTTCGGATTGGAAATCACTCACTGCCACTTTGTACTCTCTCTCTGGAGAAGAAACAGATTCAAACTTCTATTAATATTAAAAACAAAGCTACACAGCCAGAACATGGTTTCTTAAAAAAATATCAGGCTATCAGTGTGTGTTTAAAAGCTGCAGCAATCCAGAAAGCTTTCTGGTTTCAGAGCTCCCACCTTATTCTAGGAGCTAATTATACCCTTGAAAACCTAATTAATCCAGGCCCTGCATTTTCTGGTGCAGGAGTGAGCAACTTCTGTCCATCCACAAGTTTCTGGCTTTCAGCTCCCATAATCCCAACCAGTACCCATGCCAACTAGGAGAGATGGGGATTAGAGGGAACCACATGTGGGGGCCAGAAGGTGCCCAATTCTGGTTTAGACCATCAGTCCTCCAACTGGTGTATCAGAATCCACCACCATAACCAGACCGATGGTCCATCGCAAGAGCAAGTATTTAATGCTTGCCCAAAGCCTGTGCTTCAGCTAAATTCGGGACCCTGCTGTGAAAAGGCAGGAAACTGCTGCCCTAGAGAAGGATCTTCTCCCGTAAATGTTCCCCTTGGCAGATCAACAGTTAAGATGTAGGTCCACGGGCTACATTCAATGTAGTCCTTACTGCAGACCTGCTGAAATGAGGGGGACTTAAGTTAGACTAATACAGGATATCACCCCATTAGTCACACGGAACCAAGCAGAGGTTTTTGCTACAGGAACCTCAACGCTGTGGAACAGTCTGCTCAGCTAAGGCAGGCATGCCTCGCCCCACTTACTGGCAATGGCCTGCCTGCCCCCCTTGCTCCAGAGGCGCCCCCAAAATCTGTGTCTCAAAGAGTTTATTCAGTGACATACTCAATGTGCTCTCACGGGTTCGCCCTTACATTTTATCTTGCTTTGCTTTTTCCATGAGGAAGATAAATTCTATTCTAAATACATTCATTACAGGAATAATGACCTATAATGAATAAAATGCAATCACTGGGGGGAGGGTAAATGCAAAGGATATTTATAGCAGTACAGAAAGATAAACTGAGAGACTTCCTGCTGTCACCCATACAGATTTCATAAGCAAATGAATGGTTTCCATTTTTGTTTCAAGTTATTTCAGCGTTTCTTTCCAGTGCTGATCCAGATCCAGCTGGTACATTTAAGTAACCTGATGCCAGCCAGTTTCCATGTTTATTTTTATTAGAACACCTGGTATTTTCCATTTTCCCACAATCTCAATTTTAATCACTGTTATCATCTTTAAACCACACCCTTGTACAAAAGGTGTCTTCAACATATCACAATCCATAACATAGCAAAATGCAAAATTTATAATCAACTAAATCCAACTCAAGACCTTGCAGCAAAATAAAATATACTCCACAGTAATGCTGAATACACAATCCCCCCTCCCCTGAAGGATGGGAGGTTCTGTCAAGCTCAATTTCATTTAGGTTTGCTTTTTCCAAAGCTAAGTCCATTATATTCTGTTTCTACATCACATTGTGTTTCATTTTGTTTTTCAGTTTGCATGAACATGTATTTGCATTTTCATGAGAATCTTTTAAAATCTGCATTTTAGTACAATTTTTCAAACTGTCCACATTTTCAAGTACACTTCTTTTTGCGAATTCCATCCCACACTTAGAAATGTACAGATTTCAATAACAAACTGCACCTTACTTGCATTTAAATTTGGAAAGTTACCAATTGTTAACCTTGTATTGAAATGTAGATTAAACTAACTTCTCACTATCTCCTTCAAATTACTTCAACATCCATAGCTATAAGATTATTTACATAAACCAAACCAGGAAGTGTACATCCTGTAATTTTGATTATTAAAGTCCTAACATTCTTGAAGGTCAGATAACTTTCAGACTCTGCCACTAACAGAAAGGGGCTGTATTCATTATTACTCCAACTCAAGACCCATCCATTTAATGACCCTACTAATTAGGCTTAAGACTGGACAGAACCCAAACTATTCCAGCATTTAAAATATAATGTTCCCAACAGCCCATTATCTTGTTCTGTCTTAACCATAGTTAAGACTAAGCTTGGTGTGTCCAGGTTCAAATGGCTGTGTCTAATCTAAACCAGGAGAAACGTCTTATGTTTTTCTTCCCATTGTGCTGGAGGAAAAGTGGAGCAAGCAAATTCACTGTAGTTTGTCCTCAAATACCTGTAAACTCAACCAATATTCCAAGCTTCTAATCAATTAACATTAACCTGGTCTTGCGGCATCTGCATGCTTCTGTGTTAGGACTGCATGGGAAGCTGTAGACACTGTCACTGTTTTCTTAAAGCTGCAAATATTGTTACACTATCACAAACTTGATAACTATATATGACAACGTATGACAATATACTTCAGATAAGAAAGTTACAAAGTCTATACATACCTTTCTAATCCACAAATTTGAGGTTTTCAAAGCAGCATACCATATAATGCTTAGCTTTATATAGAACTGTAATTACAGAGAGACTATAAGACTAAAAAATTAAAAAAAACTTTGTCTGAGACTTTTAAGTCTAATCAGATCTAATTAAAGAAAGTCTAATATTCATTTGTTCTCTATCTGTGTTCGGTCTGCTCCTAAATAACTCCCATATTGAATATGAAGGTAACTGTGTCACTGCTTGAGCTTTATATATGCCTAATTGTTTTCATGACCAGAAGAGATTTGGGAAATATTCAGCTTATGAAGGTTGTGATCCTATCCTCCCTTACTTGGGCAAAAGTGCCACAGAACTAAAAGGGACTTATTTCCAGACCACTGTGCACAGGATTGTACTGCAAGAATCTAAAACTACTCTCACAAATAGGTTATCAGAAAAATCCAGATTTCCATAAACTTTCATAAGATCTCTTCTGTCACCATGGAAATTATTATCTCATTCTTTAATTTTAGTAACTCTAATAGTCTGCTTTTTCTTTGCAGTTTCCATGCCAATCGCATTATCAGCTGTATCACCTATCAGAGCCAGTAGGGTGGTTGGAGTGTTGGACTGGGAAGCTGGGAGTCCCCACTCAGCCATAAAGCTCTCTGGGCCAGGCACAGCCTCTCAGCCCTAGCCTACCTCACAGGGTTCTTGCTGTGAGGGTAAAATGCAACTATGTAAGCTGCCCTGCATTCCTCAGAAGAGGAAAAAAGGCAGGATATAAATGCAATGCAATGAACATTCATAGCATTACTGTTTAACATCTATTTTCATCTCTCACATTCCCAAAATATCTCATTTATTTCTTGCTACATGCCATGGCTGTACACTCCCAAGAAAATTTACACTCGCTCCTTTTCTAGCTCCCTAATCTCCAACCTAAGCATTTCTTCCGTCCTTACTCTCCCTGTTTAAAACCACACTAGCAATACATGTGCCCTTGTAAAAGCTCGGTACACAAGATCTTTACAGCATCTCTGTGTCAAAATCAAAGTTCAGAGCTCAGCTGCAGTCTTGGGAATCTCTGGGCAGAAAATTCCAGCTCACTGAGGGAGAGAAAGCTTGATTGTTGTCACTTCCTGGTTGCTTTCGAAACCTGCATGGAGAAAACCTAGAAAAGCCTGAAAGTGAAAACACCAAAGGCATGTCGGCCAGCGGAGGAACCTATATGGGTAGTGTTCACCCTGTCCAATCAAACAGCGCAGCTGAAATATCACTCCCTTTGCAGTCAGTGAGGTCAGAACAGGGCTGTAAAGAAACATACGCGAGAGGCCGGGAAGGGAGGAAGACCGGGAGCATGTGGGAGAAAGCAAGAACAGGAGCTCCATTAATACCAACTGCCCGTTGGTCAATCCATGAGCAAAATGTTAGAATTACGCAGAAAGAGTCTGTTACCACTCAACCCATTGCGAAATTAGATCTGCCGGCTATACAAACTGAGAGTGACGGACACTGCAAAGCAAGACCTGGCTGGGAAAAGGCAAGATGATACATTCATCACACCCATATTTTCCCAGTGGAGCTTGGAAACACACTCCCCCTGTCTCTCGTCTGCACTTCCACAGCAATCCAGTGTTATAGTTCAGTCTAGGATCCTGTCCCGTGAATGGACAACAGGCGTCCAGTGCAGTCTCGGCTCAACATGCTGGATGAGTACAAGTTACAGTTGCCCTGCCCTTGAAGAACCCCTTCAAAGCCACATTTAGATGTCTTTAAGGGAATTCCTCCAGTCAGCCATCGAACTTTCATACAAGGGATTATCAAGCATAATCTAAAGCACCTTCGACACAATATGCTAGCTAATTCAGTGACATTTCCCTACCCTTTCCAGATTTTTTCTGAGTCGAGGTAGATCTTAAAAGGTGAGCTAAGGTGGGGCTTCAAAAATGGACTTCTGCATTGACTTGGGCAATTCAGGACTCCAATCCAATCCAGTTCCATTTGTGGAAGCAAAATTTGAATGCATCACCACACAGAGGCTGAAAAGCAGAGGCTCTACTGCATCTGAAAGTTTTGACTGTTAAACACCTAAAGCCTTACTTGCTTATCAGAATTGCTAAGGACAAGATTTAACACACCTTCAGGTCAAGACACACTTGAATGGTTTGGAGGGGAGGGTGGAAATCCTATCTTACTGAAATAAAGAATGAAAAACCATGTATTAAAGAAAACCTTCTGTAACATTAGTATCATGTTATTTGTTAAAATGCCATCAAGGAAATAATTACCTTAGACTCCCTTTAGAATCCCACAAAGATGCCATTATGAAGACTTAGGTATTATGCAAAATTTATTTAATTGATTTATCACTTAAAAAGCAGTTGGTGCATCAAGTAGAATTATTCAGATTGGTGGAGGGCCCTAGTCCACCAATGACTCATGCACAGTCTCACTGAAAAAGAATTTCTCAATACAAGTAGGAAGCTTCAATTAATAGGTCAGAATAAACATATCCTTCACTGGAAACCAGGGTGCCTTGCAAAAATAAATCAACATGCACTATCTATACTTTCAAATAATATTTTCCCACACACATTCCTAAACCACTGAACCCCCCTGCTGCCTCCAAAATACCTTTACATTCCAAGAGGGGTCATGTGTCTACACAAGAAAAGATGGAGGTAGATACAGAGTTCAGATGAGGTTGCCTAAACAAAACGGAAGTCACGAGCTGCCCCAGTGTTTATCAGTTCAATCCAGCAAGAAAGATGAGTTTTAAGAAGCAGACACCCACATGCAGGCTTTTTCTTGGACTGGGGCCCCTAACGTCTTACTCTTCTACAGCTCCTAAACTTTTCAACTGTGTTTCTGCAGGAAAATCTGCAGGTATCCATGGAAATAAATGCTTTCCTGAAAATTCTGCCTTCCAGGAGAGGTAAAAAAATCCCAGGGTTCTGTACGTTCTTCCACAACTTGTCTCCTATACTCTATCAGTCCAGAAGGACTGTTTTAAAAGCCCATCCAGTTGGTCAAACTCATTTCTGAAACAAGGAAAACCCAGTGGAATCCCTGGAGAAGCTGCTAAGTTCTTCTCCTGTAAGAGCAACTGAGCTGCGTACTGGAGATTTTGCATCCCATGATGCTGTACTGAATCTTGGAATATGCTAGTAAATTACAACTTCAGGACTTATTCAGAAGGCACCAACTATGGCGGGTTTTAAGCACCAACTAGAGTATCACCTCTTTACCAAGGCCATCCCTGACGGATTGTGCTTCTCAATTCACTTTTTAGCCACAACGGTTTCAGTATTTGGTCTTAATGTGATTAGAGATTTTCTATATTTTTTTCATATCTAGGATAAGGTGTTTTAGTACTTTTGAAGCTTTCTTTGTAAACCACTTAGAGATTTTTTTAAAAATAGGGTAAGTGGTAAATAAATCTATCAAATAAATAAAATTAGAATTGTATTTTGAAAAGGAACAGCAAAGAAAAGGTGGGTTTTTCAGCAGCCAGAACATGCCCTAAGGGGAAAGTAAGCTTGGCATACCACTAAGCAAACTCCTTGTAGACAAAAAGGTTTTTTGAGGTGGAAGCCCATGGCTTGAATCTCATGGACTCAGGAGGTCTGGGTTCTAACCTCCACTCAGCCATGGAGCACTCCGAGTAGCTTGGGCCACCACTGAATCTCAGCCCAGCTTCCTTCACAGATGTGCTGTGAGTAAAATGGAGGAGGATTCGGAGGATTCGGTAAACTGTCCTGGGTTTGTTGCAGGAATAAATAGGTGTATCTCGACCTTGAACTTGCTCAGTGGCCAAAGTAAGCCCTCTTAGCCTAAATGATGCACACAAACACCCTAGAAATTCTGGGATAATTCTTTCCAGCAGCTGTTGCTAAGCTGGTGCCTTCCAGATGTGTGAGACACAAACCGCCATTAACCTTGAGCCAGCTTGCTGATGTGAACCAAAACCCAACAGTAGGCTGAGAACAGTGGATTGAGGAAAGCAGCCTGACTATATTCCCATCTTCCTGCCAAGTTGCCCCCTCCTGCTGTCCTTCCACCATCAAGCAAAGATATGTTTATTCAAGCAGGGCTTTGGGTGGCAAGCAGGTCTTGCTGGCTTAGGAGCGGCTTTCATTTTATTGCCGGCACATTAAAACACCATTAGAACACGTTTGTTACATTCCAGTTTTTATGACTCGGCAACTGCAAAGTCATCTTGGGCGCCCCCTTCTTAGGAGGGGGGCTGTGCCACATGTGCCAGTACCGGCATGGTGCGTTCAAACCTCTCCTGACTGGGGTTGCCATCCCGTTTTTGAGGCCTCGAAGCAAACGCCAACCTGAAAGCGCTCAACGGCCAGAGGGGGAACTGGCAAATTGTACAATACGGCGGCGGGAGGGGCGAAAAGGGGGTTGGGAGAATTCAGGAGATCAACAATGGCCCGAAAGGAGACAGGCACGGCTACAGGCTGCCTCTTTGCAGGGGAGCTATTTCCCTCACAGATTGCGGTGACAAAGCAACTCTTTTATGCCAGGTCATATGCCCAGTATCTTGTGGCTGCTTTCTTCGACTAAATGGGCTATCTGGACCAGCTTCCTTCTGAGCAGGATAAAGGAAACTGTAGCTCCTCTAGATGCTGCTGCGCTCCAGTGCCCATCAACCCCAGCCAGCACAGCAAAGGGATTGAGATTATGGAAGCTGGAGTCAGCAGGATGCACTCTATTCTGGCTGGAGCATTTCCCAGGCTGGTTCTCAGAAAGCCTTCAAGCAGAGATACAAATGACCGGCACTGAATGCAGCCCTTCGGCTTTTGCACTAAGCTGTGGACTGCAGGGCCCATGAGCCTACTTTATAGAGGACAGGTGGTCTCTACAGCTTAAAGGACAGCACCCTAAGCTGTCGTGATTCCAATTTTCTAAACCATTTGGTTTAACTCTGATAAAACTGCCTTGAAGATCCAGCCGCTGATATCAGGCTTGTGCTTTCTCATTCCCACAGACCTTTAACAGCAGGCTTCCTGCAGCCGTCTGGTTGTGTGAACAGAACACAAGATTCGATAGGCCACTGGTGTGATGCAGCTGGCTCTTCTTACGTCCTTATATTTGAACTACTCCACAATGGCTAAGATCAGTGGTTTTGCCTGCCACGCATGATTTCTGAACCTGCCTAATACTGTGGGACAATCTGAATGACAATGTAAAAAAGAAACAAATCCAAACTTTCAAAGAAAAACCTAATTCTCCACTTTTCTTGTCATTCCGCCAAACTGCGTCTGCACCATAGGACTGTCCTGTCCAGGTTAAACCTTTTAAAAAATGTATTTCTGGATTGGACCCTGTGAGGCCATCAGTCAATTTTTCAACCCTATCACACCAAAAAACAGTTAAAGAGGATAATAAAAACAATCGCCAGTCTCATGGACACCCTCAGCCTTGATTTTGGACTGGGTATGACAAAAAGATCCACACCAAACTTTGCTCCCAGAATTTGAGACAGATCAGAGGCAAGCCTAAGGCTCTCTGACTGATTCCCTTTTCAAGAGCAAGGGAGACATGCCCACCCTCTGCATTGGGAACAGCTGCCCCACTTAAATTGGCAGCATCAGCTCCTCTAGCCCAGTACAGCTGACACAGGCTGGCAGCAGCTCTGCAGGGCTTCAAGCAGCAGCTTTTCCAGCTCACTGGGAGAGATGCCTGGGACAGAACCTGGAGTTTTTGGCATGCAGGACATGGGCTCTACCCCGAGTCACAATCCCTCCCCTACACAGACAGACGCAGGCTCCCCCTGGATCATGCTTGAGTTTCTTTCCTGGGTAAGGAAAGGGAGCAGAAAAAGTCTGTCAGTCCCGTGAAGCCCACTCCTTCACTGTCAGAAGCACACATGCAAAGCATTGTTTGGAAAAGCTCTAAGTTAAAAGCAGGTATCACTTGGCAACAAAACCCTGGAATGGTTTTATACAGGCTTTGGAAGAGCTGCTTTAAATAAACCACCACTAGATATATCCGAAGCAATAATCCTCTACTTCTCTTGACCCTCAGATCTTGCCCTGGTGACAGAATTCACATTTATGCCTGTAAGCTAAAAGAAAAGAGGCCTGCACATTCTTTCTCCCGACGGTTTTAAAAAGCTTTTAGAGCAGAAAACATTTGTGCAGGCAAAACTGTATTTTAAGTCCTTGTCTGTGTGTTTGTATGGTTCTCCTCAAAAACCTCCAGGATTCATACTTGTTGCTTTACGATCAGAAGAAGGCTAACATTTAAGAGCAATAACACAGCAGAGGTGTGATGTGAACTGTTTTAACACATGCAATGACGTTTGGCAAGTGAACCTTTAACTCACTGT